CCCAATTATCCCAGTCACTGAATCAATCCACCTCATAGAGGGCCTTCCTCTCCTGCGCTGTCCCTCCACCCTCCCAAGCATGATGTCCCTCTCTAAGGAATGGTCATTAAATACTCAATTTTCCTAGAAACTAAATTTTTATCTGTTGTCATTGTTATGTGCCATCCAGTTGCCTGCGACTCATAGTGACCCTATGTACAACAGCCCTAAATCCTGTCCTATTCTGTGCCAATCTCACTGTCTCTGATACGCCCATCCCGATTACCCCAGTCACTGAATCAATCCACCACATAGAGGGCTTTCCCCTCCTGTGCTGTCCCTCCACCCTCCCAAGTATGACTTTCTTTTCCAAGGACTGATCAATCCCTCCTTGCAACATGTCCAAAGTATGCCAGATGAAGCTTCAGAATCCTTGCCTCGAAGGAGCAGCCTGGTTTAACCCTCTCCTGAATGAACCTGTTTGTTTTCTTAGCAGTCCATGGTTCATTCAATACTCTTCTCCAGCACCACAGCTCAAAGGCATCAATTCTCCTTCTATCCTTTCTAGTCACTGTCTAGCTCTCTGACACATAGCAAGTGACTGCAAAGACCATGGCCTGTATCAGGTACATCTTAGTCTCCAGAGTAACACCATTGTTCTTCAGTACTTTGGAGAGGTCCATAACAGCATTCTTTCCCATCGCAATACGTCTTTTAAAATTTCCTGGATGCTGGAGCCAAGAGTGTTGTCTGTGGAGCCAAGCAAACTAAAGCTGTTAACAATATCAATCTCTTCACCATCCATCTTGATGCTGCCAATTGGCCCAGTGGCGAGAATTTTGATATTGAGCCTCAATCCATATTGAAGGATGCAATCCTAACTTTGGCGTAACTTCTTGTTGTTAGGTGCTACTGAGTTGCACACAAGAGTTACTCACAGAGATCTATGAACATCAGATCTGAACCCTGCCCTAAACTCAGCATCCCTGCCACACTAGAGCCCACTGTTAGAGTTACTATATCAATCCAGTTAGTTGACAGTCTCCCCCTCTTTCAGTAATGCTCCACCTTTCCGAACACGATGTCTTTTGTCCAAGGACTGGTCCTTCCTAACACCATGCCTAGTGAAGTTTCACCATCCGTTCCTGTAAGGAGCAACCTGGCTGTACTCTCTCCAAGACATATGTTATCAATTCTCCATAGGCTGCTACCTCAATCCCACTCCAACCTTGTCTACCTTGAAGTATCCCTTAGATACACACTCAAACAATTTCAACTCCCAAAGCATTGCTCACTCACAGCCATTGGGCTTTTTCCTACTTATCGCAACTGTCTATCAACTGCAGCAGGAGGAGAAGGTCCATCACTCTCTCAAGGAACTATGAATCTGAACTGCCAGAGGTGCACAGCTTTTGGGTTAACAGATTAACTCACTATAGAACATACCACCAGAGCTCCCTAAAGAATTGCTGAGATATATTTTACGGAAGATTACTACTTAAAATCTGGAGTAGTAAACAGTTAATAAACTAAGCTGCTAACCAAAAAGTTAAGAGCCAAGAAATGCCTCAAAAGAAAGGCCTGGACACTTTAAAAAAAAAGACACTGAAAAACACAGAAGTAACAAGTCAGAATCGACTCAATGGCAACTAATTTGGGTGGCTCTTTTCCTGAAGTTCTTCTTTCTAAAACAGTTGCCACACTTCTCTCTTTCCTATTTCCATCAATTTCTCAGACCATCTCTCACATATCCTCAATAAAAAGGTTGCCAGCAAAAGAAAAATCAGTTAAACTATCTACTGTTCCTGAAGCACATCCAGGAAGGGCCCAGTTCAAAATAACAGTATGAAGAGTGCTGTATTTTTGAGGGAGCTCTGGTGGCCCAGTGGCAAGAAACTGCACTGCAATCCCAGAGGTACTCAGTTCAAATCCACCAGATGCTCTGCTGGAGAAGGAGGGTCAATCTCCTCCTGTACCAATCAGATCCGATTTGACCATACACACAAAAAATATAATAAAGACTTAAAAAAAAAAAAAGAGTGTTGTATTTTTCAAAGGTATACTCCTAGTCTGGAAATTATCACCTTAACTGATGAAGACATAAAGCATTCTTCCTGTCTAGTTTTCTCCCTATCCTGATCCAAAATCAATGTAATATGGAGTCACAGTAACTGATGAAAGCATGGTACATGTAATGAAAACTGGGGCAGAAGAAAAGAAAGACACAGTATTAAGAAAGTAATTCCATATTTGTTTCAAATTCTTATTTAGTCTACCATAGTGTTCTTTTAAGAAAATAAAGGGAATTCCACAGTCAGATATATCAATAGTTAAAGCATACACCTCATTTCTCACATTCTGAACTCTGTGCTTTTGATTCAGACATTAAAAGAACTAAAAGAATTGTTTTATTATTTAAGTGCACTGAGTTTCCTAAGATTTTATTTATAGCATCAAAATATTTTAACAAGCAGGGTGTAATTTATCCAGAGAGGAGGAAAACTGTATGTGGAAACAGGCAAAAGAGAGTAAAGACAGTACCAATCACTAACCTATGTAGTCATTAGGCAATTGAAATTTAGAATTTAAATTAACATGAGGTTATCCGCGAATTAGTATGACATCGTTTTTGGACCTCAGATTCCATTCGTGTTTTTTTTTTCAATAAATGAATCTTAAAAATACAATGATATTACACAAATAATACCAATTATTAAGGCAGCAACGGTAAAACCAAGCTATACATTCGAAAAATAATTCTAAATTTAGCATCCTAAATTACAGCTGGGAAAACCCTCACACCACCATTCACAAGTCTTAATTCAAGCAATTTATTTTTGGCAAGGCAAATCACAGCTGTCAACAGTGGGGGTTTTTTCCACACCAAAATTACATAAATTTGGGGGGGAAAATAGACATCTTGATCTAGGAGAAAAGCGAATAACAAATGCCGTGTGTCGTTACAAATGCTTTTCTAAAAAGTCACACGGAAAGGGAGGTTTTTTTAAAAAACAAAACAAAAGCAAACAAACAAACCCTGGAAGATGCAGCAGAGCCCCCTTGCTCCCGAAATAAAACTCCTGGTGGCTGTAACTGCAGCGGCAGCGCTACTCCCGACAGAAGTTTTCAGCTGTCACTTCTAACAGCTGAGCGCTTCCTAGGAGAGAAGCGACAGGCCGAGAAGAGAGGTGGTTGTGGGAGGTCTGAGAATTTAACACTAGAAATTTTACACTCGAAGGGAAACCCTTCCGCACTTCACCTGCACTTATGGGACACCTAACAAGCGCAGCCTCCCTCCCCCAACACGCGCTCACACCACCCCGCGCTCCGCCACACTCAAGTCCAGTAGCTCGAGGTACTGACCACGCGTTCTTCCTTGTCCCCTTCTCAGATTGTTCGGGGCTGCGCTGAACTGGGGATGAGGGCGCGACCTGCACCTGCGAGCCCCACAGCGGCCTCACACCTAGGGCCAGGTCTGCCCTGCCCGGCTTCCCTGCCTCAGGTAGTGCGGGGCGCCCCAGCTTCTCCTGGAGACTACACACGCCCCACTAGGTCTCCGCGCTCTCGGACACGCCCGGCTTCCTGGGCCCTAGCCGCCGCCCCAGCCCTGTCACCTCGGGCCCCCCGGGACCCGGGCCTCACCCCCTCCTCCAGCTCATCCTCAGAGCCCGCGTCCTCTGGCTGGTCCAGATCTATGTCAAACACTCCTGCCATGTCCTCAGCTTCCCTGTCTTGGACGTCCAGCGCTGGGTAAAAGCCGTCCCGCCTCCGTCGTCGCCTCATGGGCCCGGACCCGCCGCAAAGACGGCAGCCGCTGCCGCCATCACCGGCTGTCTTGGCTTAGTGCGACTGCGCCTAGGCCCCAGACTGGCTCCTCAAGTTCAGAACTAGAGCATGCGTACCACGAGCAATGAAGCCAAACTGTGGGCAGCGGACATGCGTAGAACTATCACCATAGCCTAGGTACTGGCAGAGACATGCGCACAACACGAACCGAAGCCTCGCTTGGAAGCCAGAGCATGCGTATTGTTCGCGCAAGCTTTTGGTGAACAGTGAGCATGCGTGCCAAATCTGAAGTTGATGAATTGAAATTGAACATGCGTAATTAACCTTTTTGAATAGGAAGAAACACACTCACGCACTCGCCTCTGCTCACAACTCTATCACCACTCCACCTAACCCCAAAACTCTTAGTTCGTGAAACATGCGCGTTCCTTCTCGCTGCTTTGGGGTTTCTTTTTCCCGTGCTGAGAGCATGCGCATAGTGAGAGGGTTGGCTTTCTGAAGTTTGAACGAGATTGAAACGCCTGGTAACCGGGCTGTCAGTAAGGCGTGCGGACGGTGGACTTTGCTCTTGCCTAATCGGTGGCCTTGGGGAGCCTTAAAACGTTCCAGACCCTCAGTTTTCTGTAAATAGCAGACAGTAACACCTGAGATGGGTTTAGGACGGGGCGGGATTTCCTTCTGTTGTATATAGGGTCGCTGTGAGTCGAAGCTGACACAACCACCACCACCACAGGCTTGTTTACAAATCTAAAGTACGAAGCCTGGTTCATATTACTACAGTTCATTTCCATTGCTGCGTGGAGCCAGTGTGAGTTCTTTATTTTTTTCTTTTAAAGTCTATTTTGTGGTGTTGTTATGTGCCTCTGTGTGTGTGTGTGTGTGTGTGTGTGTGTGTGTGTGTGTGTGTATAAAACGAAGATTTGATCTGATGTTTCTTCTAGTGTTTACTTCCTTCGAGTTCCATATCACCACCACCCACCTCACTCCCGCACCGGATCCACTGGAAAGTAACACGAAGTAGTGGTGGTGTCCCTAGACCAGTAATGAGGGTGGTGAAGGCAGAGAACGGCATTTAGAAGACAGAAAATTATTATTAATTACATGCATAAATGCTGAGAGAAATGTGTATTCTATGTGCCCATGCATTACTGATTCCTTAAGTAAACATTCATTTTGTTGTTGCTGCTGATTTAAATGCCTGCTGTGGAAAATAGTGAATACAAAGCAGATTTTGTGACGCTCTTATTCAATATATGTGAATATAGTAAATCACAAATCCCAAAACTATAAAGAAAAAGATAATTTTATAAAGAGAGGCTATTTCATCTGCAACATTATACGTAATTGGCATTTTAAAATGCTGTTTTTAATTATGGTTAACAAGGTGTTATTTGATATCTCCTTTTTAGTAGTACAGTAACACAATTTTCTGTTACAGGTTGCTGACTTTTTGGTGGGACTTGGTGGCTCAGCATGTCAATAGTAACTGTGCAACTTGGTCAGTGTGGCAATCAGATTGGTTTTGAAGTGTTTGATGCTTTTTTTGATGACTCATACTGTTTTCAAGGACTCTGCTCTAAGAAAGAAAATGAAGCATATCAAGCATCTTGCAAAGAAAGATTCTTCAATGAGGAGAAAAATGGAGGTATGGTCCACAGTTATCTGCTTTCTCCTTTGATTAGGTAGCCAACCTCTTCAAGGACAAGCCGCCATTTGGTGTCTTACTCCCGGCCCCTTTCATCTTTCTAGGGACCTAATTTGACTCTCTCCCATCTGTTCTGTTTCTATATCGACAACCTCATCGACATCTTTCCTTTTTTTTTTTTCATATCTGTCACTAAAAGAAAACAAACCACTTTGTTACTTTTATGCTTTTATGCTTTCTTGCCCAGTGCCACATCGGAGCATGCTCAGATTTTCACCAATCTGAAACAAATGGAAGTCTAATCACTTAACTAAAGTTGTCTTCTTTCTTAACTTTCTGCTTTCTCATCTAAGATTCTCAGTGAAGAACCGTAATCCTGCCTTGACTTCTTTTCCAATCTGCACATTGATAAGTGGATATTAGAATCCACCTCTCCCAAGTATACCACAAGCCAGGGCTTTGAACGGATTGTTCTGTGTTCAGTCCTGGCCAGTGAAAAGAAACTGGAATGAATGCAAATTGGTAAAATATGTATGAATCAGAGCAGAAACCAGAACATGAAAAATTATGGATCAATGCCCTGTTAGAAACATAATTTTCCTCTCTTAGAAAAGAAGAGAGCAGCCTGTATTTTCCATAGAACAGACTGGGAAACAGTGCTCTTCTCAAAGATGCCACTGACCAAACCACTTTGAATGTGTATACCACTTTCTACCATCCAGTTCAGTCTACTGAATTAGGCTTCTGAAAGGGCTTATTATATTCTTATTCTCGCATTCCAGGGCTTCGATTTATATTTTTTCTTGTTCCAGGCTTTTTCTATTTCACCTAAGTTTTAAAAAATAATTCCACTTTAAATTTTTTAAATAATCTTCATTGTGATTTAAGTGAAGGTTTATAAAGCAAACTGATTTTTAATTCAATCATTCATACATATTTTGCTCTTGACATTCATTTCAATACCCACATTATAATCTTACTTTTCCCATTTCCTCCCTATAATTCTGAATCCTGCTAATCATTCTGTTCTTCCTTCTGTATTTTCTTTCTTTGGTAATACTGTGATGATCATCCCTACATTGTATATTGTCTTTCTTTTCAGCTATCTTTTTTTAAATTTTTTTTACTAAATTTATAGTTAACTAAATTTATATACAAAATTCTAATACAAATTCGAACAAATTCTTTCCATTTCCCTGACTCCCCCCTAATCTTTTCAGCTATCATAATGTGTTTCTACACCAGCATAGAGAAAGGTTAGGCGGCCTAGCAGGCAGAAAGCGATGCTATCAAACCAAAGGTGGTGACTCTAATCCGTGGCCCTCAGGCCTGTCTTTGTTTTTAGTGAAACATTCTTCTAGGTCATATAGCCCTGGGCTGTCCACTTGCTATACAGAGAGGAAGCTCATGGTTTCTGTGTAGTTGAACACTGTGACACTAACTCCTGTGAAGCTGAAGACTGTGGCACTGATGTGTCAAATGTGAGAATGGTTACTCATGGTGGACAGTGTTTGGTGGAGCTCCCCAATTAAAACCAGCTTGGAAGCAGGAATGGCATCCAATTCCAAAATAGCTTGCCACTGGAAACCTATGAACCTGGAGAAAGGACGAAAGTTACACAAGTGTCCAGGTCTTTCGTTCATAGGGTCGCTATGAGTCACCTACAAGTCAACGGCACTTATCAACAACAACGTGTTTCTATTATCTATTTACTCATTTTTTACTCCCCTTCCATCTCCATCACTAATAACCACCCCACAATTATTCTTTCTGGGTGTAAACCTTTTTTTAGCTTTTTATAATGGGCATATCATATACAATATTTGTCCTTTTATTACTGACTCATTTGACCCAGTATGATGGCCTCTACAGTCATTCATGTCATGCAGAGTTTATAATATTCTTTAATGTTTTTCAGTGTTGCATAGTACTCTATTGTGTGAATGTACCATAGTTGCTTTATCCATTTGCCCACTGATGGACACTTGAGTTTTTTCCATCTCTTAGTTACTGTAAATAATACTGTAGTGAATATGGGTATACATTTATATATTAAATCGTATTGCAAGTTTTATTTCTTTTGGATAGTACTGCGATTCCTGGATCAAATAGTATTTCTATTTCCAATTTCTTAAAGAATTGCCATTTTAGCGAGCTCTGGTGGCCTAGTGGCAAGAAGCTGCACTGCAATCCCAGAGGTGAGTGGTTCAAATCCACCAGATGCTTTGCTGGAGAAGGAGGAACAGTCTCCTCCTGTACCAGTCAAATCTGATTTGATGGTACACATACACACACAAATAATAAAAAAAAGTAAAGTAAAAAAAAATTTAAAAAAAGAAAAGAATTGCCATTTTACATTTCCATGAGCAGTGTCTGAGAGTTCCAGTCTCTCCATACCCTTGCCAGCATTTATTTTTAGAAATCTTATTGACCTTTCCTTTTGTTGCTGAAGTGAGATCCTATTTCTTTGTTGTTTTAATAATTGTGAGCATTTCTTGATATGTTTGTTGACCATTTGAATGTCTTTGGTAAAGTGTCTATTCATGTCCTCTACTCACTTTATAATTGGATTGTGTGTCTTTTCTTTGTTAAAATGTTGGAATTTTCTATAAATTTTAGAGCTGACTCCCTTGTTAGAAGTGTCATTATCAAATAATTTTTTCCCAGTCTGTAGGTTGCCTTTTTACTCTTTTGGATAAATTTTTTGATACACATAAAGATTTAATATTTAGAAGGTCCCAATCATCTAGCTTATACTTTGCTTATTGTGCATTTTAAAAACTATCAGATAACCTATGCTGCAGATTGTTGTTATTGTTGATTGCCTTCAAGTCAAGCGACCCTGTGAACAGAAGGCCTGAAGGCCATCTACAACTATCAGCATTTATCAAAGTTCATAGAGTTCATATTTTTTATATATATATATATATATATATAGTTTAGGTAGTGGATACTACTCTTGCTTCCAAACGTGCCGTAGATTAGGTCTCCTAAATTTGCTTCATTTTTTTCTTTGATGTTGTTTTAGGTTTTACATCTACGTCCTTGTTCCATCTTGCATTAATTCTTTTATTTGGTGTTAGGTATGGATCCTGTTTCAATTTTCTGTAAATAGATCTCCAGTTATACCAGTACTATTTTGTTAAAAATTATCTTTCCTGGTTCCTTCGGCACCACCATGGCGGTCGGCAAGAACAAGCGCCTTACAAAAGGTGGCAAAAAAGGAGCCAAGAAGAAAGTGGTTGATCCATTTTCTAAGAAAGATTGGTATGATGTAAAGGCTCCAGCAATGTTCAATATAAGAAATATTGGGAAGACGTTAGTCACAAGGACTCAAGGAACCAAAATTGCGTCTGATGGACTCAAGGGTCGTGGGGTTTTTTTTTGTTTTTGTTTTTGTTTTTTTTATTATTAAATTTTATTAGTTTT